ATTAAAACTGCTCCAACTTTATTTTTTTATTTGTTAACTCTAATCATAAGTTCTGTGTACAGGAAAAGATCCAGAACAGACTACAAGCCAAGAGCCTGCTATTCCATCAAATCCAATTTTGCCCAACAGTCTCAGCCAGGTAAATCATTGAAAATCCGACATATCTACTATTTCAGGTGTTTCTGCCATCGGTTATTCTAATACTTTGTTCACTTTACAACATGACAAGATTATTATCCATTGCAATTATCAACTCAAACCTTCACTGGGTTCTTGATGGATTCGATAACTAACCTTTAATGTATTATAAATCATTGTTATTATTTATTTTGTTTGTTGACATGTGTACAATTTTTGCATGATGATAATTTCCATTTAGGAAAAGCAATTTAGCGTTAAATTCATGTAACTATTTGGTTTTTGTGTTGTTCATGCTACAATAACAATATTCTTGCAAATATATCCGAAGAGCTACCCAATAACGCATTAATAACATCAATACATGTATACAACAGTCTAATAACACATTCATTTGCCAAATACACATGAAGAACAATAAAATAACACAAACATAACACCTTTGTAACACGAGAAATATTAAAAAATAACACGAAAACCCATTCCTCGCCCCGACTAACCCGACCGTAATCCGGTGGGAATATTCTTACCACATTGTTTCGGTTCCTCCTGTGTTACGCGGACGATTAAAATGACGGTAACGTGGCAGGAATATTCTCCTCGTGTTACTTTTCCTCCCCGCTGCGTTACTTTCCCTCCGCGCTTTGTTATTCCCTCTTGAAGAGTGTTATTAATGTCATTCGCTGTCGATTTAAACACACGTAACTCTGAGGAAATATTCACCCTGTGTTGCTTTTCATTGCGGTTGCATTATTTCGCCAAGCAGATGCGTTATTTCTTCTCATCAGCGCGTTATTTATGTTATTATATGCGCGCAACGTAGGGAGAATATTTCCTTCGCGTTATTATCGCCATCCGATGTGTTATTTTTCCTTTCCATTGTGTTATTCTACCTTTTAACTGGGTTATATCTTTTTTCTGTTGCATTATTTAAATTTTAAAGCTACAAGTACAAGTTTTAGCTGTTAATAACCACAAATTAAATGTATTCATATCTAATATGAGGGATATCACCATGCATATGTAAATAATAAAAAATATTCCAATAACTAATGAAAATAGACATCAGTTCAAAGGTATAAAAAATAAGACAATAACCAATAATATAGATCTCAATACACCAAAATAATTATTACAAAAGTAAAATACAACTGATTGATATGTATAAAAGTAAAATATAACTGATTGATATGTAAATAAGTCAAATATAAATGATTCATATGTACAAAAGTCAAATATAGGTTCGACTGCAATAAAACACTCCCTCCACCCAATTTCAAAAAAAATATTCTTCAAAGACATATATTTACGATTTTTGGCTAGCCCACATGCAAATGGTATAGGCAAAATGTGCCCTAAATTGTACCATTTGATCTTGTTAGTTCAAGTGAGCTTTTCATTCGATTCGCTGAGACTGTATTATGGTTTCCATATACTTACATATAAACATTCCACAGTCGTGGCTGTTACTTTGGGTAGGAACATTACAAGGACAAGTCAGTTTCCACTTATTTATGTTAGAACTAAAAGCATGTCCAACATCTTTCAAGAAATGTCGAACCTGATAAATTCGAACAAGTGTTAGCAATTTATAAATTCAATTCATGTGGTATTGCAGTGTATATGATGTGTTTTTCTTGTGTTACTGCTGTGTATATGATGTGTTATTCTTGTGTTACTGTAGTGTATATGATGTGTTATTCTTGCGTTACTACAGTGTATATGATGTGCTACTCTTGTGTTACTGTAGTGTATATGATGTGTTATTCTACTGTAGTATATATGATGTGTTATTCTTGTCTTGCAGCAGTGTATATGATGTGTTATTCTTTTGTTACTATAGTGTATATGATGTGTTATTCTTGTATTGTTGTAGTGTTATAACTCCTTTATGAATGTAATATGTCGACTGTGTCAAATGTACTCACAATTTTTGTGGCAACTCCTTTATGCATTGGGTTGGGCAATGAATCATATAATTTCCATGTTTTTACTTTCAACTCATATGATGTGTTATTCTTGTGTTGCTACAGTGTATATGATGTGTTATTCTTGTATTGTTGCAGTGTTATAACTCCTTTATGAATGTAATATGTCAATTGTGTCAAATGTACTCACAATTTCTGTGGCAACTCCTTTATGCATTGGGTTGGGCAGTGAATCATATAATTTCCATGTTTTTACTTTCAACTCTCCAACAAACAAAATCCAATGATGGCCATTAACGATAGGAAATAAAATGATTTGATAATTGTACAATTGAAGGAAATTTGGCCAAACAGGAGGCTGGGATGCGGAAAAATGTGCATTTAGAAGTTTAGAGCTTTGGGCTGATGATAATTCGAATATGATTGAACTTAAAACCTTGGTCAATGTAAAACTTGCTCATAGGATTTTCAAAATTCCTATCACCAGAATAGATAAGGATATAATCATTATTAAAGCTTCGGAATGTGATTAAACTTAAAACCTTGGTCAATGTAAAACTCGTTCATAGTATTTTCAAAATTCCTATCATCAGAATAGATAAGGATATAATCATTATTAAAGCTTCATATACAACCTCTCTTACTAAGATAATGTATCAAAAAGTGCACGAATGGACTAAAGTAAATTTGGTAGAACTAATCTAAAACGAGAACTTAACTCCTTCCATGCCCTTCTTTACTTAAGGTTGCTTCCACCATTTGCTTCCTACAGATGATGTCTTGAAACTAAAAGGGCTATGGATGCCTTCTTGTTTGCCTTTTGTGCAAAAGGGAAGTTGAATTCTCTAATCATCTATTTTTTCCTTGTAGTTTTCCCAGCAGATCTAGAGGAAGCTATGTGATGTTTTCAACGTTACCAACCCGACCAATGGGTTTATGAGGCTGGATCAGTGCATGGACTGTTGAAAGTCCCAATAAAATACTAAACACTTAGCAAAAATGGTTGCTTTTTTTTACCATGTGGCCATTTAGATGGATATAAACTCCATTAAGCATGATGAGATCTATGTTGGGGAGGAAAAGGTGGTGCCCAACATACTAGCATTGATTCACATGATTGTTTCTTTTGGTAAAGTCAAAAATAGCTATATTTTAGGAATGCATTACACACTTAATCCATTGGATGTTTAGGACACTAGAGAAGAAGAGAGTGCAACTGATTTTCTGGAGAACACCTCCAAGGCTATGGATTAAAGTAAACACTTATGGGAGTTTCAATGCTAAAGTTACTGGAGATGGGGGCTTATTTAGAAATTGGAATACAAATGTCTCCCCATTTTTCACCTCCAAGGCTGAAGCTGGGACAGTTTAAATGGCTTTAAAATCAGCATTTATCTTGCATGCTTGTAGTTCTCTATATTGACATATGTACCAGATTGCACGCCACATGAAAAGTGCAAACTTGGTCAGAAGGCAAAGCTATATGCTCAAGGCCAGCTCGGTCTCATATAAATCCCCACGATTGCGGAAATTGCTACCTTGTCCCCATTACTCCCAGGTTAACCACGATGCATTTGGCATTACATTGCCAGCATCCGGCCTTGATGTTACTTCTTGCAACAGATTTCTTATTGAATTAGATTTAGTTTCGGCTCGGATATTGTTCGATCAAATGCCCGTGCGAGATTTGATCTCGTGGAATTCAATGATGACAGCTTATTCCAGGAACGAATGTTGTGAAGAAGTTCTGCAATTGTTTTCCGAGCTGCAGAAATCCCAGTTCAAGCCCAATTATACTTCTTTTTCGCTGGTTTTAACTTCATGTGGAAAAGTCAGAGCTTTAGTCCAGGGGAAAACGATTCACGGGCTTTCCATAAAAACACAGGCTTCTTCTAATTTGTTCGTAGGTACTTCTCTTATCACTATGTATTCAAGATGCAGTGCGGCTGATTGTTTGATAAATGTTTTTAAGGGTATAATTTACCCCAACATTGCCTCATGGAATGCTTTAATATCTGGATTTATGTTGAATCGTCAGGTGAGCGATGCCCGCGAAGTATTTGATAAAATGCCAAGCCGGAATGTTGTCTCCTGGACCGCCTTGATAAGCGGTTATGTTGAGGTTAAGAAGATGAGCATTGCGATCGAGCTGTTTGAGAAAATGCCTGTTAAAAATCATGTAACTTGGTGCGTTATGTTGGGAGGGTTTGTTGACTGTAGAAAATTTGGTGAGGCTTTTGTATTCTTCTCAAAAATGCTAAGTTCTGGTGTTAGAGCTACTGTAGCTACTATCATGGAGGTAATCAGTTGCTGTTCTTTTATGGGCAACCTTAAGCAAGGTTGCAAAATCCATGGTTACGTGATAAAATTGGGCTTTCATCTTGATCAGATGATTGAGGCCTCTTTGGTTTCTATGTATTGTGATTGCTTAGGAATGGAGGAAGCAGAATTTGAGTTCAGAAAGATGGAAATCAAGTGCATTGGATCCTGGAACTCTATGTTGTGTGGTTATACGAATAACAGCAATTATAACATTAATTACGCTCAAAGATTTTTTGATAGTATGGTCAACAGAGATAATCTCTCATGGAACTTGATGATCAATGGCTATTTGAAACATAATAGAATTGATGATGCTGTGAAGTTGTTCTGGATGATGCCGGAACCTACTATGGAATCTTTCACTGCTTTAATGTATAGTTACATTAAAAATGGAAATCTGGATGATGCTGAGAAATTATTCTATATGATGCCTAAACGAGATGTTGTGGCTTACACAACTCTGGTATTTGGTTATTTGAGAATTGGCCAATTAGAGAATGCCTTTGAGCTATTTAACAAGATGCCTGAAAGAAATGTGGTAAGTTATAATGTTATGATCTCTGGTTTACTTCATAGTGGAAAGACCAAGGAAGCTTATGATCTCTTCAAAATGTCTCCGGTGAAGGATATTGTCTCCTGGGATAATATTATAGCCGGGTTTGTTCAGAATGGATTATTTGCAGAGGCAATTAATCTTTTTAAGAATATGTCATTGTCTGACATAAAGCCAAGTGAGTTAATTACAGCCAGTCTTCTCAGAGCATCTGCAAGGCTATCCATAAGTATGCACGGGGAACAATTTCATGGAATAGCAGTCAAGTTAGGTCATGAATGTTGCTTGATTGTTGGTAACTCACTCATTAACATGTATGGTAAATGCGGTAATATTTTGATGGCCAAGTTTGTATTTGACCAGATGACAGAACATGATGTTGTGGCATGGAATGCTATAATTAACAGTTATGCATGTAATGGTCTTGGCAAGGAAGCAATTTTGATGTTCGAGGAAATGAAAATGTGCAAAATCAAGCCTGATTATGTTACATTTCTTGGTATCCTTGTTGCTTGTAACCATAATTGCCTTTGTGAGGAAGCTCAGGGTTACTTCGACTCAATGGTGTGTGATTATGGGATAAATCCAACTGTAGCTCATTATTCGTGCTTGATTGATCTCCTATGTCGGATGGGCATGGCTGAGAAGGCAGAGGATTTGGCTCATTCAATGCCATTTGAGACTGATTCCACGGTATGGGCATCAATTCTCAATGGTTGCAGATTACATGGCAATGTCAAGTTAGCAGAACATGCAGCTAATCAGCTATTCTTATGGGATCCCTTAGACCGGATGCCATATAAGCATCTTATAAGCATTTATGAATCTGCTGGTAGATGGGCTGATGTTGAACGTATGAGAAGCAAAATGAATGAACTCACATCCAATACAAGAGCTGGCTACAGCTGGGTTTAGGCTTGCATTGTGGTAACTAATTACCTATCCGTACATCCAAATTGAAGTTTTCAAGTTGCTCTATAAAAGGCTCATTGTGTTATATAATCATGCAAAATTCATGTCATTGGATGGTGGAGACAAAGTCATTCAAATTATTTTTCAAAACACATAGCTCTGCTTGTTTTGCTATGATTCAGATGATGAACTAAGTTGCATTGGTTGCTTGAGCCTGGAGGAAAAACTTTTTTTTTTTCCTGTATAAGATGCAGAGGCTGCTAAAGACACCTGAGACGTTAGACCTTCGATAGCATTTTTCTAGGCTTGATTTTATGAAAATGATTCATTAGTCCAACGGAGCAAGGATTTTCAAGAATATAAGAGGTTCCCAAAGGCTCCCAACAAGAAAATCAGATTCAGTTGAAAAGTAAAGAGGTAAAATTATTACTGCTTTATAATGAATTTTTTCTATTGCATGACAAAGTATTCAAATAACTGGCAGAAATCTTATAACAATAGTTTTACTTGTGAACTCATATTATTGAATCATTTCTTTTGCAGGTTTGGTATTGCTGTGAAGCTTGAGCTTGACCGAGCTACGGAAAAGCAAGAGCCCTTCATGAGGAGGTTTTTATAAGCTTCGTTTTTTTTGGGGGTAGCTTGAACATGCTATCTCATGATGATTCCATTCTACAGGTAACGTAGTGACTTTCTTCTTTCAGGCAATTCCAATGTTATGGCATTGATTTGTTCGAGTTTGATATGCTGCAAAAGTAAATGTTAACTTTCAACATATATAATATTGATCTAGAATATGATTTTTTTCAACAAGAAGTTCTATATGTATTCAAGTAATATACTTAATCAAAATAGGCATTGACAAAGAATATTCTATCTAGTCCTTAAAATTCTAATGTGAACAATTAGATGAAAATCAATTGATATGATTGAATGCTTACCTTGTGCTGTTGCACTTCAGTCATCTACATCTAACAATAGGAAAGAGCACTATCTAATAAAGAATTATAACTTCTTTTAATGTAAGGAAAAAAATAATTTACTCATCCCTACACATAAAATTTTTCATTCATGATTTCACGTAAATTTTTTTAGCTCTTACAATTTTTTTCTCTCTCGTGAAATACATGGATGAAAGTCTTAACAAGTGGTTGTTTTCCTATTTTTGTGTCTCATTAGCATAACCTCCGTACATACACTTTTCCTAGCTTTGAGTCTTCCCTTCAATTGATTCATTTTGGTCCAACATATACCTTTGATTTAGACCTCGACATCTCTTACTAAAGCCACATCCTAACCATCTACACACACTTTTTCTTGTTTGAGTGACTCACACACTTGACCTGAGTGACCTCCACATTCATTGACTTGGTTGATTCTTGTACAGACATTAGATCTAATTCATCTAAATCATAATGCATTGATAATATGGATCCTAGCATGCACAATAAGGTTTGACACATGAGTAACCCTATTTCGGCTGTGTCATTTTAAACTAGAACATTAATCAGAACTATTCACCATTCCCTGTATCTTGGCTCATCTTTCGAATTGCATACACACCTGATGGATCTTACTTCACTTCTCATCAGGTCATAGTATATGCATTGTGCCCTTGTGTATGTCAAACAATCATGATGTGACTCCCACATTGCTTTGATGTGATCTTAACATCACATAACATTTCATAGCACATCATGAACTTATTCTTTTATTTATTGCTTTGCTCGTTAAATGGATTAGCGTGATGGAATATTGGTTCATTCGTTTTTTGATTATGCACATAGCATCACAATCACGCTCTTTGCTCAACTGGGTGTGTGGCATTGCAAATGTTTTCTTGCTTGATCATGCTCGTTGTATCACAACAGTATTCGTTGCTCTATTATGTTTCATGTCGCGATTAGATATTCTACTGGATCACGTATTTCACATCATGGTTGCGCTTATCATTCAATTATGCATCCAATTGTGATAATATTCTTTGCTTAATCGCATGCATCTCGTTGCAGTTGTGTTCTCTACTAGGTCACATATGCCTCATTCCTCTCTTGATCCCGAGGGCCACGTCAAAATTGATTATAAATATATATTGAAAACTCTAATCGTAGGTTCGACTGAAGTAGGGGTGTGAATGAGTCAAACCCGGGCTCAACCCGTGTTTCAATTGTTAAAAAATACAACTATTTGTGTTCGACTTTTTTATATTTCAAACACAAAAAAATTGTTTGTGTTCGGCTCGTTTGCTTAGCGAGTCGAACACGAGTTGTCGGTGAATAAAGAGTCATTTTGACAACCGTAGTCACACGCCCGTTAGGGGTGTAAACGACCCGAGCTTGAGCGAGCCTAGGCTCGGCTCGTATTTGGCTCAATAAAAATATTGATGTTCTTGTTTAACTCGTTTATATATCGAGCTCAAAAAACTTGTTCGTGTTTTGCTCATTTATGCTCATTTATTTTTTGAACCAAACATGAGCTGTTCACAAATAATGAACCATTTTAATAATCTCAGTCAAACAGTAGTAGGATGTTAAGGGTAGGGATACTTGTTCGTGTTTTGCTCATTTATTTTTTGAACTAAACATGAGTTGTTCACAAATAATGAACCATTTTAATAATCCCAGTCAAACAGTAGTAGGATGTTAAGGGTAGGGATAGATTTAAATCTTATTATTTATATTAAAATATTCATTTAAATAAAATTTAATATATTTTTATTCTATTTTTAATTGGTAATTTTAATTGATTATAAATCTTTGTATCCTTGTAGTCAATTAAATTATTTAATAGTAATATTCATGACACACACACACACACAAAACAAGTCGAACACAAACAAACAAATTTCTTTTCGTATTTGGCTTGTTTTGTGCAAAAAAATTATTCATGTTCGGCTCGTTTGCTTACCGAAAGAATCGAACACGAGCTACTTAACGAGCTGAATACAAACTGTTCAAGAACAACGAGTCATTTTGGCAGCCCTAGACTGAAGTACTGGTAGTTGGTTCATGTTATTATAAAGAGAGGTGGATGGCAGTTTGACCCATGCAAACAATAGAGAGCGAGCTAGAGTGAGAAGATAGAGGGCAGAATCAAGAGGCTGTGAACGATTAGGCGAGCTCGATTAGGTGAACACATGAGTCATAGAGCAACAAGACAGATGTGAATCAGACCGAGTGAGACTTCCACAGGTGGAATCGGCCCTAAGGAGTCCTGCGAAGCATATAAAGTCGAAGCAAGGGCATACAAGTAGAATTTGAAGAGAAGATTGAGTTGTGTGTAGAAAGCAAAGGCTTTTCTTCTTTTTCTCTCATTAATATTTGAGGTAAGTATAATTAGGCTTTCTTTTTGCAATTTTTGAACCCTTCAGATTTGTTTACATTTTTTTAAGATTCCGATAGAGAGATTAATTAATCAGTGAAGACAATTTGTCATTTTGAAGAGGGAAGAAAAGGAAAAAGATTATTAAGGTAAGACTTTAAAAATTTTATGAAATTAATTATTTAATGGTAGCAAATTAATACCAATAATAATAATAATAATAATGCTAATAATAATAATTATTTAATGGTAGCAAATAATAATAATAATAATAATGCTAATAATAATAATCATAATAATCATAATAAATTCAAAAGTTTAATTTAATGAAACAAAAAAGAAGAGGATTGAAGCAATAAAATGACTAATATAATGAAATTAGGATAATTTAATTAAATAATAATTTTTATAACTTATTATTTATAAATCTAAAAATATTGTTATGAATGAGAATTAATAAGATATTATGAGTATATATTTTAATCATAGGATTTTAAACTGAATAAATACTTTATTAAATAAAATATTAATTCACTCTAAGTAATTAACATAATTAAAATTACTAATAATATAAGTATTTGTTTTTTTGGCTTCAAATTAGACTTGAGGCCTAAGACAAATCAAAGAACAAACCATTCAACATTGTGTGATTATTCTTACTTTTAATTTGTAGTAAACATTTTTTTTATTCTTAATCAGTTGCATTCATAGTTACTGCTATCTATAAATTCAATTGTCAAGTTATATTTTTATTTATATGTTCTTTTTATTAGTCATATTATTGTGATGATTTTATATTTTAACGATAACTACTATTATGCATTATGTATATGTAATATATTGAATTAAATGAAATGCACATATAAATAATATGAACTGCATTGAGTGATTGTATGTATATGTTGGGCTATGATGGAATCTACCTCTTTATGATACTAGCGAGAAAACGCTAAAATACACGTGCATGTAAATGAAAAAGAATATTGATATTGACGTGTTTTAATTGTCATAATTTTAGATGGTACTCTTGTGATAGTTGTATACTGATTAAAAATATATTGATATGTAAATGAGATACTAAGACAATGAATTTTTAGAATCGCCTTGAATGATCATGTTAGTTAGTTAAACTTTTAAATGTTCTTATATTGATTTACATAAAGTTTAATTGATATGCATATTATATTACTATAGTTTGGAAGTATAAGTATTCACTGATTTTAGTTAGCTCACTCTTGTTTTGAACTAATATTTCATGTTTAATTAATTGATTTAAAAGATGAGCGATAAAAGAAAAAATGTTTATAAAAGATGCGAACAATCATAAATGAAGTAAATTTAATCATGTTACTTTAATTTATTTTCGTTTGACCTTTCATTTTGTTTGAGTTATAAACTGTTAATTATAGGAAATGAATAATAATAGAACAACATGATTATCACCATCTTACTGTTTGCTCCTGTCTTGATTAATTTAATGCTCGGGTTGGGTCGTGAGACGAACCTTAACTGGCATAATAAATATGATAAAAAATGCATTTTCAACAAATCACGATCTACAACAAATTTAAATTAGTATCAAAATGCCTAGCCTTTTT